GGACACCGTGGGACACCGTGGGATACCGTCGGTCCAGTTTGGGTCTCCAAAAGCCTCCAACAGAATTCTGGATGATCTAGACTGGACTGCACCGTGGGACACCGTCGGATACCGTCGGTCCAGTTTGGATCTCCAAAAGCCTCCAACAGAGTTTTGGATGATCTAGACTGGGCTGCAACGTGGGACATCGTTGGACATCGTTGGACACCGTGGGACACCGTGGGATACCGTCGGTCCAGTTTGGGTCTCCAAAAGCCTCCAACAGAAATTTGGATGATCTAGTCTGGACTGCAACGTCGGACATCGTTGGACACCGTTGGACGTCGTTGGACATGGTTAGACACCGTTGGACACCTTTGGACACCGTTGGACATCGTCGGACATCGTTGGACATCGTTGGACATCGTTGGGCAGCGATGGACACCGTTGGACATCGTTGGACAACGATGGACATCGTTGGACAACGATGGACATCGTTGGACAACGATGGACACCGTTGGACACCGTGGGACATCGTGCGACATCGAGGGACACCGTGGGATACCGTAGTGTGGTAAGTTGCTGGCCTATGTGCTGGATCCACGGCTGAATTACCCGTGGATCACTAGCATCATCGGTCGACGCCATCGACCGCGACTCGTGTGAGTTTCGAACGGCGAAACAGGAATCGAGTTACGGTCAATTCTTGGGCTTTCCGCTGAACCTCGGGATTATCTCGTGTACGCGGGTACGTCGTGTAAGTTTGTTAGTTCATTCGAGAGATCGCGATCTCGTTCGTTTCGGGCGCGCCGCGATTTTTTCCTTTATCATCAGATTCATCGGTCATTTTCTTGTATTCCCATTTTTAAGCTAAACTTATTGAGATCACGTTAGAGTTTATAACTTTTCAGTATCTTCGATATCTTACAGCAAAAATAGAACGTTAACTATTTTAGTACAGCGACTCGTATGTCCCTTCTGCGAGACACGAAATGGTATATGCAGTGTCAGTAGCTACATTTTCTTCTTTTCATTCCAAGTTAGATAAATGTGTGTTTGATACCGAATGATGCCAGTAGGGATGCGAATTATTGTACGATATTTGTACTGATCGATGTAATCGTTGTGTGGGATATGGATGTTGCGTTACGTAGGCATTGTTCTACGTTTGTAAAGATTCATGTAAGCGCAGCGTTGGAGACATGTGTTTCGCAGTTAGGCTACGAAACAACCATTTCCATACGCAGGCCCATGGTTAAGTAGAGTCAAAACTCGACATTCTGACAACAGGCTGAATGTCGAGATCGATGTGTAGTGTTACATAACCCATGGGCGGGTCTCGTGCGTAGTCACCACCTCGTGGTGAGACCTGGTAATTGGCATCCTTTTCCAAAAATTAATCAGTTGATTAATCTTTGGTAAACGATGCCAAGCTAAGAACTACGTACCAGTCCAGTTTGGGTCTCCAAAAGCCGCCAAAAGAATTTTGGATGATCTAGACTGGACTAACACTCCCCCGCGGGGGC